CCTGGGATCATGACCTGAGCTGAAGGCAGACGCTTAACGACTGAGCCACCCAGGCGCCCCGAAACCTTTTAAATTCTAAACCAATGTTATGTTTAAAACATCTGAGAATCTCCTAGAAGGAGAAAACAACACTGTGCCATTTTTCCTTTCAAAAACTCAAGAAAGTTCTTCGGCTATTTTTAATCTAAAAAGAAGACACCAAATGAAAGAATTCACACACACAAAGTGATATCAAAATATGTGAAAGAACTAAATTTCTATTTACAAATGTAAATCTTTTTTCCAGAGTCCCAACATATGCCAAAATTTGTTGATATAGGCAATATATTTCAAGATACTTCTCCATGACTGTACATAAAATCCAGATACAATTTTTTAAAGGCCTAATATTAAACATCATGAATATGCTCACATCAAAATCACAATTTAAATAGACTTGACCTCACATATACTTCTTGTATCAAAGTTAACATTCTATGGTAAATTTACTAATTATAACTACCACAGTGTAATTTCAGTGTTTCACTATGATTTGTGGAAGCAGTTTTATTTATTTTTTACTTCTTTTATGGTCTGGTTTAAGAATTTGTTGCTAAGCGTTTACCTAAGAAGACTGTATTTTTAGTAAACATTATTATATAGTAAACTACTTAGTAAACGTGCTACTAAAAAACAATGAGACTGGCTTGAAAAATTCAAGATACATTAAAAGCAAGAAAACCGAGGTACAATCTCAACTGGATTGGGGTAAACAGGTGGAAAGAACACAATACAATCTCTGAATAAGGTCAACCAAGATGTCTGTTTTTTGGTAGAGGTATAAAGTTTGAGATTAATCTTCCTTGGAACTTAATTAAAAGTAAAATATTGAAATTTGTAATTTAATAAAAACACTTGGCACTAAGGAGCCAAACCCCAAAATGGCTTATACATATACATATATATATTTTAAGGATTCTAGATTATCAGGATCTAAAACAAAATATCTTTAGAGCAAGGATCATGTTCATCTAATGAATTTTATACATCATGTCACTGCTTGACGTAGTATAATTCTAACTTTAATTTGTTCCATATGCTTTAGAGAGATCCTGGAAAAATGGTATTACCCTAGAAACTGAAAAGTAATGAAGCAGCTTATCAAACACTGGTCATCACACCAAGCTGTTTTTAAGGAACCAAAGTTCCTGAATGTTGCTATGCACTGTATTCCTGTGATTTCCTTTACCCGTCATACTCCTAGCTTTTCTAACACGATGGCGAAGCTGGTTTTATAAGCAGTCAGTTTCCCACCTCATTTATACTTCCTGAGGCGCTTTTTCCTTTGCCATCTGTGTTTGTGAGAATGAATAAGGTATATTTATTATGCTTAAAATCTAGTCTGCACTATTTTTTTTCTTGTTTGGATATTTACGAGTTCTCTCTTTAACATGTGAAACTACTATCAAAGTCATTGTAGATGGAAAAATATAGTAAAAATAAAGAGCAACTGACGTTCTTGGATTGGTGTCTGCATATGAATACAAACCCATGCATAAAGGCACAAATATTTCTCTTTTTTATCTTTCAAAAAATGAAATACTATTAGGCCTATGTATTCTCTCAAACACTGGCCAGGCCGTCAAAATGAGCTTCCATAAAAAGCTCTTGACCAATCAAAAGATACAATTTTAGTGAGGGAGATCACTAACTGGCAACTTTTAAGAACTTCCAAAACGAGTTTTTACTCCCCCCAACTCTCCACATATGCTATTGCCCATACCAAAATATAGTTAGGCTTGATTTCTTCACTGTAAATTATATTTTGTGATATAGGTAAACACAAAGTAAATATAATAATAGCAAGCCATGTTATTACAACTCTTGAAATGGAAAAATCTAATCGAGTACACGAACATTATGTCCAGTATAACATTTTCTTCTCTATGTCAGAAGGGCAACCCTAGACATATATATTATACACATGAAAAATACTCACATTTACGTCTGTGTGATGAATTAAGACACAAAGAGCTGGAAGAATCTGAAGAGAAAAATATATAGATTTAAAAACATACACATAATGGTATCTAGTTTAGTTAAACAACAAAAAACAAAACATTTGTTTACCTCCTGAATGGTTTCCATTGGGGGTGGTGGATCTTTGTGGCGACATAAGTTGACCATTACCCAAGTAACATTTCTTAAGAATGTTATAGGAATAGATGGACTTATGAAGGAAAGTAAAGGTTTCACAACTCCAAGACTTATGACATAATCTCTACACTGTGGCCCATCACCTGTAGGAAGGAGTGATTAATTCAGTAAAATACACTGACAATAAGCAATTCAGAAAACATAAAACACTGGTTCAATATGCTGCTTTCTGTATTTTAACTAGATACACTATTTAGTTTTATACAGAAGTTTCAGACAATAACCAAGTTCTCATTTTAGGTCTCTGAGCCTAGAGAAGCAACATAAAGTAGTTAAGATATTTTTTGCACGTTATTCACATATTCTGGTTTATAAATTGTTCACCTATGTTTTTATGCCATTCAAAATTAGAAGCCTAAGGATCCTTTAGAGTACTTTGTGAGCAGAGAACTGCTGCTTTTATTTTCTCTCTCAATGATACTCTCTAACAAACTTTCACGTAATTAAAATATATATATATGTATATATATCAAAATAATACTAGAAAAAAATATTTGTAGAATTTACACTTATGATCCAGTATCAGAGTACCAAAAGTATTAACTATGAATTACTCTACACATTTAAAAAACTATGTCCAAAATAAAATTAAAAAATAAAAAACTATGTCAAAAAAATGAGGGGATGAACCAATATCCCTAGAGCAGTAGTTCCCACAGTAATTTTTGGCCCTATCCAGATCTGTTAAACAACCTCTGTGGATCCAGAATTCTGGGTTTTAACAAGCCCTTTCATATGATTCTGAAAACAGGCTAAAGTTTGAGAATCGCTGCCTTAGAGAACTGCCAAATGTAATTTCTGTATCTACAGCATCACTGTAATTTCTAGCATTAAAGCCATGTTAAGTATTACATTCTATAAAAGGAAAACCCTTTTCCTAGCACTGTAATATTTGGAGATAAAAATGCCTATTCTTTTGGCATCCATGTATCCTAATTATTCTACAATGTTACTGGAATTAAAAACCAAAGATCAAGATGCTGCATTAATAGTTCTCAATCTAAAATTTGGTATAAAAGCAAAGGGGTGAAGGAATCTGGATACACAAAAGATAGCATTCCTAATAGCAATATACCATATGTGAAGAACAGTTTACAGAGAAATTCTCCCATTTTAAAACTCTTAATTGTGGAACGAACCATCCCCTGCATTCTATCTTGGCCCCCCAAAAGTAATATAGAAGAGGTACATGAAAGTAATTATCAACTACTTCCATGCAAGAACAATAAATTCTAACATCAAGGGACACAATACAGTTCAGACCCCAGATTTTTTTCCATTCTCCACTCACTGGAGGATAGCTCTTCAAATTTTTGAGTTTGGGTAAAGTTTGTCTCCAGATTAAAAACAAATCTTGAAATATTAGAATTGTCTTTAATTATTCTTCTTACAATTACGCCAGAGAAAACCTGAAAGGTAGATAATCATGGTATTCAACATTTAATGACACTGTCTATAAGCTACAAACACCTCCTGTATGATGACCTATGATGATAATGGATAACATTACTGTATTTTACTGTACTAAAATCCAGGAAAGATAGTAAAAATTTCAATTAAGACTCTTTTTAAGAACGGTCATTATGGAGAAAAATTGTTGGTTTACGTTGTGCATCCTTCTTTTTTCTTATTATTTCTATGACAATGGAGAAAGTTAGGGAATAAAATGAATCCATCAACATAATAAAGGAGGGAGAGGAGATCTATTATCACATACATATTTCCTAATTATTCAAATAATTAAGAGTTGACTATATACTAAAAAAAAGAGTGGACGATATACAAAAAGATAAGCAACAAAAACGTTCATCCTGTTTATTATAGGTTTATACTTAAAACAGCTATAATTTCTATAAATTATTTCACAAAATCCAGTCCTGAAAAAGACAAACTGTTTTTCTTTTTCAACTACTAGTAGTCATTTTTATTACACAGTATATGACAGCAACAATTGTAGAACTAGTGTTACAAGTTTTATACAAACCTATAATATTTCCCAGTGCCCACACTGCTTGCTCACAGACGTTTTGATGGGGTGAATGTAGAAGCCTCAGGAAAAGTGGCACGGCATCTGAAGGATGAAAACATAAATTAACATTTAAGTTTAAAGACAGTCTTAGAGACCAATTACATCTCAATAATATTGGAAAAAAAAAAAAAAGGATTGAAGATATTATACTCTAAACCAAAAATCAATCTTTTTTTTGGCTGAAATCTAAGAAGAAAGGACCCTATCAAAAATACATTTAAAATATATATTTATTAAATGATTTTCACTCCAGTAACAGTAGTGGAAAATTTGTGATCAGCAAGCCACTTATTCAGCATCAAAATCTCAGTTTTAACATATAAATATCAAATTGAGCTAGTAAATTTTCATTCATAATTAAACCTGAATAAAATTCCAAATTAAAAATCAATTCTTAAAAATAAATAAGTAATTCATTCCTTATAGATTCAAGCATTATTCTCAAACTTAGAAAAAAAAAAGGACTCCCAACTATTGAAGTAAGTTCTGAATACAGAAATTTAAAATAACAGGAGGGTGCAGTTCAAGATGGTGGCTGACCTCACCTTCTACCATGGACACACCAAATCTATAGCTACATATACAATAATGCTTCCTACAGAACTAGCTGAACAGCTCCTTCACAACAAATGATAAAAAGGTCACACTGAGATGGACAGGAGAGGCAGAGACTATGGTCCTAACAAAGCCATGCCCTATAACCTAGCAGTGACCCACAAGCAGGAGGGATTTCATAAATATGGAGCATAGCCCTGAAGAGCAAGGGGTTAGAGCCCCAAATCAGGCACCTGAACCCTTGGGACCTACACCAGAGACAAACTCCCCAAATGTCTGGCTTTGAAAACCAACAGGGCTAATATCCAAGAGACCCAAAGGTCTGTAGGAAACCAGGACTACGCTCTTATGAGATTACTTGCCCACATGCCCCAGGATTCAGCACAAAAGCAGTGGGCTGAAAAGTGCCTAGAGCATATGCAAAGGAGGTTCACTGGCTAAGTTTAAAGCAACTGCCTAAGGGACGAGGGTCTGCTGGAACTTTCTCCAGGGATGGAGGTGCTGGCAGGTGCAATTTTTTACACACTCCACCTTGCTAACGATACTTGTACCACCCCTGCACTCTCCAGTGCAGAGCACTGCTACAGCTCCACCCCACCAAACCCAGTGGGATGGCTCATCCTGGCCTGGCAGGCCCCTGTGGTCCTGCCAAAACTGGCAGGAGCACAAAGTCCACATAAAGGACACCCCTTGAATGCTTGGCACTGGTGGCTGGGGGCAGGGGGGTCTTTTGCATTTCTGCGCTCCACAGGAGTGAAACAATCTGTGGCAGGCTACCATCCCCAAAGTATAGCACAGACAGCTGACTGAAACACATGCTGTCTTCCTATGATCATTCCTTCAAGACTGAGAGAGGTAGCTGTTTCACCTAATACATAAAAACAAACACAGAAAGTCAAGTTAAATAATAAACTGAAGAATAGAACAAAATAAAACCCCAGAAAAAAACTTTACTGAAATGGAGCTAATTTACCTGATAAGGAGTTCAAAAAAATGGTCATAAAGATGCTCCCCAATCTCGGGAGAAAATGGATGAACACAGAAAAAATTTCAACAGATAGAAAATATAAGAAAGTACCAAACAAAAGTCACAGAGCTGAAGAACACAATAACTGAACTGAAAGATACAGTAGAGGCATTCAACAACAGATAAGGATAAAGCAGAAGAAAGGATCAGTGACCTGGAAGACAGGGCAGTGGAACTCACCTAAACAGAGCAGCAAAACAAAAAAGAATTTTAAAAAGTGAAGATAGCTTAAGGGATCTCCAGGACAACATCAAGTAGAACAACATTCCCATAATGGGGTCCCAGAAGGAGAAGAGAGTCTAGAGAAAGATACAGAAAACTTGTCTGAAGAAATAATGGCTAAAAACGATCTCAACTTGGGGAAGGAAAGAGATACCCAGATCTGGGAAGCCAGGAAAGTTCCAAATACAATGAACCCAAAAAGAGCCACACCAAGATATATTGTAATTAAAATGTCAAGAGTTAAAGATAAAGAGAGTATCTTAAAAGTGGCAATAGAACAACAACTTGTTGCGTACAAGAAAAGCCCCATAAGACTATCAGAGATTTTTCAGAATAAAGTTTGCAGGCCAGAAAGGAATGGTATGATATATTCAAAGTGCTGAAAGCACTGGCATACAGATGACCAAAAGACATAGGAAAAGATGCTCAACATCACTAATCATCAGGGAAATGCAAATCAAAACCATAATGAGATACCACCTCACACCAGTCAGAATGGCTAGAATCAAAAAGACAAGAAATAACAAGTGTTGGACAGGATGTGGAAAAAAAAGGGTACCCTCGTGCACCGCCAGTGGGCATATAAATTGGTGCAGCCACTATGGAAAATAATATGGAGGCTAATAAAAAAACTAAAAATAGAAGAAACTAATACAGAAACTAAAAATGTAGGATCCAGCAATTCCACTTCTGGGTATTTATCTGAAGCAAATGAAAACAAATTTAAGAATAGTTCACAGTATTTTCACCATAAGCATCTTTGCTGCAAACATTTTCACCCTATACCTAATTTGCCGTATGGCAATTATGCCATAAAAGATAAAATCACAAAAATAAAAGAGAGACATCCATTAAAAAGGACATAATGAAACATGAAAAATGCATTAACAAAATTAACAAGACTATTGCAAAATACAGAACATGTGAATACATTTAAAATGTATGTAGATTCATGCAATTCTATGCAAATAATTGATTTTTATTTTGCAGACTGTACCTAAGCACTTGTCCTCAAAGTTTTCCTTTTATAACATTATATATATATAATTTTTTGCTTGTTGATTCATCTCTTCATCTGGCATCACATGTTTTCATTTTTTGCTAAAATTTCTTTCTTCCTTAAGAGAGATATCAGTTTCTAAATACAAGGATGCATATTTGTAACAGCTTTGTATTGCACTGTGAAAGTCTTCTACACTGTTCTCTGTTCTCAGCATATTACCACATGTCTATTGACAGATGTTCCAAAGTTCTATGAGAAGTGTGCGTTCAAAACTCTATGCCACTGTACAGACTATTACAAGGGCTAAGATTTATTTAATATAAAAATAGGAGCAGTGTGTCAATGCAGACATGAAAGCAAACTGTCAGCTAGCTGATGAAACCAAGAAACCATCAAATCAAACCGTCAACCAGTTATTCTTATATCTTTTATGGCAAAATTGCCTTATGGCCAATTAGTTATGTGAGGAAAAATGCTTTCAGCAAATATGCTTATGGTGAAACCACTTAGAACCTCTGAGGATATATGCACCCCTATGTTCATTACCAGATTATTAACAATAGCCAATATATAGAAACAACCAAAGTGTCCAATGATGGATGGATGGATGTGTGTACATATGTACACAGACACAATGGAATACTTCTCATTCATTACCAAAAAATGAAATACTTAATTAGGACATCAATGGACCCTGAGGTACTAAGTGAAATAAGTCAGAAAAGAGAAAGACAAATAATGTATGATTTCACTAATAAGTGGAATCTAAAAAACAAAACAAATGAACAAACAAAACAAAAATTCATAGATGCAGAGAACAGATTCATGGTTGACAGAGGGGAGGGCTTTTGCGAGGTGGGTGAAATAGAAGGGGGTCATGATGTACAAACATCCAATCATAAAACAAGTCATGGGAATGAAATGAATAGCATGGTGACTGTAGTCAGTAATACTGTACTGTATATTATGTAATTTAATATGATGATAGGAGAAACTAGACTTACTGTGATCATGTCTTGGTGTATACACTTCAAGTCATTATGTCATAAGTCTAAAACTAATTTAATGCTATATATGTCAGTTACACCTCAATTAAAAAAATTTAACATCACATGGATCTTTAGTCAGGCCAGTGATTCCTGTACCACATGAGACCTTCTGAATCAGAAAGTGGTTCTGTTGCTTTACAACATCCTTGCTTTATAACAAGGATGGGAAACACAGAGAAAGATCTGTATCTGAACAGAATACTACTACACTGAACAAATGATTCTTCTATTTTTTCTTTCTTCTGATATTACTTTGAAAAATGCTATTTGAGTACATGTAGATCAATCATGCTTTACTCAAAAACAAGACAGATTGGCAGTGTTAAAACAAATTCTAAGGCTCCTTCTACTCTTGAAAAAGCCACATAAAACAGAAAGGAAAAAGAGTGAGAGCTTAAAACATTGTCTTGAGATTATAAAATTTACTAAATAATCAATTATACAAAATAAAACCAAAAAGCCAAAACAAAACCCATTTAAACCCCAAATTAAGCCAGTTTTATCATGACTTAAGGTAGCATTAATATTCTATATAATATTACAACAGAAATGTCTACATAATTAAATGTTTACTTGGATAACACCTTTGTTCCCCTTTAAAATCATATAGAAATTAATGCTTAAGATTTTAACAAGCTTACACAAGTATATTGCTTATACGTGTGTGAAGAGCACTTTAAAAGTACCTTCTTTAAAATTATTAATTTCTTTGATAGAAGAATTAAACAGTATTCATGAAAACAATACACAGGTTATTACTTCCAATAATAATTTCTCACTTACATCTCTTCGAACATAAAAAGAAAAACAATCCTATTATAATAACAATGAAAAAATTTCAAGCCATTTTTCAACAGGACTACTTTATAAAAGATTTCTCTAAAGCATATGATGAAAATCTCATTAAGAGAAGCCAAGAAGTAGTATGGCAATGGGAAAAACACCTTTATTTCTATGATGTCCTATAAATAAAGTGTAACTACAATAATGTAATCTGCTACTATAATTAGGAAATGTTCTCAGATTTAGCATCAAATGAATTTTTGAAAATAGAAAATGTCAGTCACTGGAACAACATGATCAAAATAACATACTTAGGTTGGCCTATTTCAACTACCCTGTAATTAGGTAGCTATTATTTTATAATATAAATAGCTTTATTCTTTTAAGAGAATCACTATTTTTTTTTTTTTTACTTTTTTTTATCTGTTAAATCACCAACTTACTGGACTGAACTACTGCTTGAGTCTGTTCCGAGGTTCCAGATGCAATGTTTGTCAGAGCCCATGCAGCTTCAAACTGTAAAGAAGGACTACAGAGAACAAATAATGTTAAACAGTAAGGATTTTTACACTGGCCCAAATCTAGTATCTACCAACCATTTCTCCCCTCAAGCATTTTTTAAAGTATTAAATATTTTGTTTCAAAGGTATCTATCTATGCATCCAGCACTTTTTTTAAACCTCCAGTGACTATTTACAGATCCTCAGTATAAAAAGCATACAATTTCCTCAGGTGTCCCACCTATTTTTAGTAAAAACTTTTTTTTTTTTAAATTAAGATTTTATTTCTTCATTTGAGAGAGAGAGAGTGCACAAGAACACGAACAGGATGGGGGTGGGGAGGAGGGGCAGAAGGAGAGGGAGAAGTAGGCTCCCTGCTAAGCAGGGAGCTTGATCCCAGGACCCAGGGATCATGACCTGAGCTGAAGGCAGATGCTTAACCAACTGAGCCATCCAGGCGCCCCAAAAACTCTTTATTTAGATACCTGCATATGACTACCCAAATAGTTTTCTCAAGTACTTATCAGCCAAACTAGTTTTTGCCAATTTTCAAAGCTTAAAAGTTCAATGTATCATTCTTGGGGTGCGTGGGTGGCTCAGTCATTAAGCGTCTGCCTTCGGCTCAGGTCATGATCCCAGGGTCCTGGGATCGAGCCCCACATTGGGCTCCCTGCTCAGCGGGAAGCCTGCTTCTCCCTCTCCCCCTCCCCCTGCTTGTGTTCCCTCTCTCGCTGTGTCTCTCTCTCTCTGTCAAATAAATAAATAAAATCTTTAAAAAAAAAGTTCAATGTATCGTTCTCAAGTTCCTCTTTGGCCTTTATGTTCACCTCTTGGTGTAAACACACCCTGCAATGTTTATCACTGGCTTTTCAACTCTTATAGTCTTTTCCTTTTTTCTTTAAAGACCAAACTACTACAAAATCTTGTCTTCTGCAAAGGATACATTCTAAATTACCTCTTAAAATAATGTACTTACTTGTCATCTCTTTCAAGACAGTGAACTAAAATAGGCAATATTCCAGATTTTATTAAGTCATCAATTGGTGGATTTCGATCACTGGACAAAAGCTTCCTATAAGAGATATACATACTCTTGTGAAATTTAATGATATATATTATAATTAAATTCAAATTCGTATTTGACATAGAGCTTACACAAGTCCTCACCCATTTGAATACCCTGCACAGCAATATTTATGAAAGCTTAATCAGATCATTCTCCTATATAAACCAAGGAATGGCTGCATATTTACTACCCAATGAATGTAACCTCTTTGTCCTCCACAGGTTGGCTCCATCTTACCTAACTAACTAATCTTACTCTCTGTAATTCAACAATAGATCAGTTGTCTGTCTTACCATTCAATCTCATTTCCAGGCTCTTCACATCCTATTCCCCACACTTGGAATGCCCTGTTTTCTGTCTATTCAAGCTCTATCTATTCAAAGTCCATTTCAGTTTGTAAATTTTCACAATATCCTCTCTGAATTCCAAGAACATTTCCACAGCATATGCTTACATTTGCTGTTATCACCCTATTTTTAATATACCTTTGCCTTCTCAATTAGGTTCTAAAGTTCTTACATAGCAAGAATTATACCACATACTTTTTCACAGTATTTTCCATAGCACATGCCACAATTCTTAGCACAAAGTAGGAAACAGCCCAGTCTTTCTTAATCTAGGTTCCAGACTTAATAAAAGAACTTTTTTCTACTACATTGAGGACATTCTTAAAGATTTAGAAATGGCCTTCTTTCTTCTGAGTGCACAATGGTGCATATATCTACAAAATATAACATAGAACCAGTTTGGTGCCACTGTCTAACTGATTTGCACTAAGGTACCATCAAGTTTTAGTCACAGTTGCTTTTCCAACATCAGTGTAAATTGTTAACACATTAGAAAAAGGCAAACAAAGTCTTAGTATTATTGTGAAAATGGATTTGATCTTGTATACTCATAAAGTTGTCTCAGGATCTCCTAGACATCCAAAGACCATAATTCGAGAATATCGGCCTTAAGGGCCTTAAGGCTTTATTTAGAACTGTTGAGAAAAGCTGCTCCAAAACTCAAATAATCAACTCTGAAAATGGTGAGCATAATGTATCAATTTCTTAATCATTCTATCTATAAACATTAATTTGCCATTTTAAGATGTGAATACTTCTGTGATTTTCTTCCTACATAACCAAGTCCTCTCTAAGAAGTTCTTTTACCTATGGTAGGCAACACTGCTAATTCTGTAATTTTCCTATCTGTTCTAGGTTATTTAAAATGAATACAGAAAGTAGGAAAACTCTAATACATTTTTTTTATAAAAGATTCGTATACTAGCTAAGATATTGGATGGACCAGTGTAATCTTCTCCCACTATGAAATTCTATGAATAGGATCAGTTACTTAAGTGTCTCTGTCCTACTAATAACACAGAGCATTATTCTTATATTTATAAATACAGAAAACAAAGACTGTATTATACTATGAGACAACCATGCCTTAATAAGGTGTCAAAGTTTCTCTGGTTCCCCCCTTAAAATATAGGAGCATACACCTTGAGAACATAGATTTCACAGCAGAAATATGCAAACTAACTTAATATTCCTACCTGAAAGTACACTGGGAAACTTTATAGCCCTAAATCTTAATGTCTACTTGCCTGTACACCGTGACAGTAAGCTTATAAATCAATTTATGATTTAATTAAAATAGAGATTGTGAAAAGAATTAGCTACCTGGGAAGGAGATAAAAAAAATCTTTTTATAAAATTAAACCTGTTAATAAAAAGTGAATTTTATAAATAATGTTTTTCTATTAATTGATAGCAATAACCTGTCAAAACAACTCTTCCCTAGCATCTGTACATGCTATGCAAGTTGAAACTTAAGTTTATTTATTTGTGAGTTTAGAAAACTGCTACCAATTTTAATACTCTAGATCAGAGAAAAAATTTTGAAGTAAATGTAGATGGTCTATGGACTGTTCTTTATTGTTTGTCATCAAAGTTAATATGAGTGACAGTACTACTATACAGTGAAAACTCAAACAGAACTCCTGGGTAAGTTATAAAATTTAAATATGTCCTCAAAATTTAACTTACCTAGCAGCTTGAACTGCACTTAATTGAATTCCTTGGTTATCACTTGAAGCATTCTATAAAAAATTAAAACAATTTTTGATATAGATATATAATAATTAGAAATACAAATGAAGAGGGGGCAAAAAAACTCAACTTACTTGAACAATAGCTTCTAGAGAGGTATTTTGCTGTGAAAAAAATTAAAGAGAAAACTAAGTTAAAAAGTCACTTTAAAATTCTATATTTATGTAAAATTTTTCACTGGTAGTTTTTAAGTTAAAAGAATAACAATAACTTACCACTCTATAATCGCCATCTATATCAGAATCTTCACAGATATCTTCATGTGGTACATTCCTTCTCTTTAAGAGATGCTCATCTCTTTTATTCTTAAAAATATATATATATCAAAAAAAGAACTTTAATTAAAAAAAGCTAAATACTTTCATACAAAGGATAGGCAATCCTGTGCCTACAAACTGAAATGGGAAGTGCCTTTTAAAAGTAAAATGCAAATGCAGAAAATTAAACCAAATTGTGATTCAAACACTTAAGCAACATTAATTTGAGCCCCAAGCCCCAAATATTACATTTTTAATGAACCGTGAACTATGTAAAAGCAAACTAAAAAAAAAAAAAAAAAATTTTTGATTAAAAAAGACAGTGTACAGTTTAAGCCAGAACCAAACATATATATTTGTTTAAAAGTACTAAACCATTTTATACATCATCTGGGAGCTTCTCTTTATCACCTAAAAACAAAGTCAAAGCAAAAGTTGGGCAATTCAAAATCAGACAAAAATCAACGGTCACTTAAAATTCACTTAAAATGTGTGGAACAAATTTAAAGAGATAATCCCAACTATAACTTTTTTTTTTTTACACACATGAAAGATAACCAATTTTAATACTTGAAAAGTTGATGAAATTTATAAGTAGAACAAGTTCTTTTCAGGGTATAACTACACCTGTAAATAGCAGAACTATTTAGTATAACTGTATAGAGAAGACTTTCACTTTATATAAATTATTAAAGAAGAAAAACACCATATAACTCGTTTATCTCCATTTCTGGAGAGTGGTCAAGTTGTATCTTGCCAACTTCAATAGCCCGCGTAAGTTTAGTCAAAACCCTTCAGTTTTCAAAAGAAAAAGAAATGGTAGGCACTTGGGATTAATATACATTTAGTATCTTCTATATATGCTGTAATGTTGTTAGAATTATGCTTGGAAGTACTCAATATTACGCAGACTCACCTTCCTTAATTCAACTACAACTTCATTTCGTTGTCTTCTCATAGTCTACAAGAAATTAAAGAAAAATATTTTTAAAAAATCACCTCAATTTCCATCACCCAAGAAAACGACTATTAACATTTTAATGTATATCCCATAATCTTTTCTTCTAGTCATATGTAAATAGTCATATTTTACTCATAATAAAGATATTATAGATATGATTTTCTACATTAGATAAAATTTTTAAAACTAACATTTATAAGAATACAAAGATACAAAGAATAAAAGAACCAACTCATAAGCTCACCTCCCATATGAATCATTACTTAAAGAAGTAATACATGTACAAGGCCAGTAAATTCAACTGCTTAAAAGGAGGGGAAGGTGTCTTCCCATCCATTCATCCTATCCATCCAGTCTCTTTCTCTAAATACACACTGTTAGATTTTACTGTGTTTCTGACACACTTATCTACTTATTCTGTCTTTACCTTATTTTTGTTTACTTACTTTATAGATTTTTAAAGCCCTTCCATGGTGGTATAATACAGTAGATCTTTTTCATTATTTCTAATGACCACAAAATTTTTCTATCACATCCTGTAACCATTCTCTTATTTTTTAACATGTGTTTTCTCATTTTAAACTTACCTAACACATGGATACATGCTTACTGTAACACATTCAAAATTTCAGAAACAATACAAGTTTAAGCTCTATGTGTAAGTTCTCCTCATTCTTTCTAGTGATTGCATATGCCTGGGCATATGTAGAAATAGCAAGTCACAAAGGAATACTCATATGTCTAACTAAAGATCTCAAACTTATATCCAAAACCAAACTTTTAATTTTTAACAAACATACATAACTCTATCTCATCTCGCATGATTCGTATGGGAGGTGAGACCAGGAGTTCTTTTATTCTTTGTATCTTTATTTTTATAAGCCTTATGTTACTGTTTAAAAAATTTATGATGGGGCACTTGGGTGGCTTAGTCAGTTCAGTGTCTGGACTCTTGATCTCAAAGTCATGAGATCAAGCCCTGTGATAGGCTCTGCACTCAGTGGGGAGTTTACTTGAGATTCTCTCCCTCTCCCCCAGCTCGTGTGCTCTCTTAAATAAATAAATCTTCATTTTTTTTAAAGATTTTTTAAATTTATTTGACAGAGAGAGAGACAGCGAGAGAGGGAACACAAGCAGGGGGAGAGGCAGAGGGAGAAGCAGGCTTCCCGCCGGGCAGGGAGCCCGATGCGGGGCTCAATCCCAGGACCCTGGGATCATGACCTGAGCCGAAGGCAGATGCTTAACGACTGAGCCACCCAGGCACCCCAATAAATAAATCTTTAAAAAAAACACACACAAAAAATTTATGACATATCCAGCATTATAGATCTACTGATAATTTCAAAGGAATTTTCAGCAAATGGCAGCTCTATCCTAGGCACAGACCAAAAACTTTAGAGCCATCCTTGATTCTTCTTTTTCTCTCACGTTACACATTCGATCGTACCAAATCCTCCTACTGGTTCAACCTTCAAAACTTATCTGAAATCCAACTACATATCACTACCTTCTCTGTCACTACTCTGGTCCAGCTCACCATTAACTCTCACCTAGATTACTGCAAAAGGCTCTTAACTTGTACCCCTCTTTCTGCTCTTGCCCTCCTTCTCTGTAGTTCGTTCTTATCACAATAACCAAAGCAATCCTCACAGGGAATCTTATTTTTTGAGTGCTATAGTCTCTTTTGACAATCTGGTGAAATCAATGAACACCTTCCACATAGTGTTTTTATTTTTTTAAAGATTTACTTATTTATTGAGAGAGAGCATGAATAGAAGGAGGGGCGGAGGGAGAGAAAGAATCTCCGGAAGACTCCACGCTGAGCGCAGAGCCCAACAGAGGGCTCAATCCCACAACATATCTGAAATCAAGAGTCAGTTGCTTAAACCGAGTCACCCAGGCGCCCCCATATAGTTTTTAAATAGAGATAAGAAATACATAAGATTACAAAGAAAAACAATTATACTGATCTACAGTTGTCAAAAATATATATATATGAAAAAACAAACTATAATATATGTGCTTCATTATCACATTAAGTGGGATCTAACAGTGAGTGAGTCTAATAACTACCATAATTTCAAAGTAATGTTGACCTTAAATGATATTTCAAGATATCCTGCAACAATAATTTTCTACTGGTGGTGACAAAAAGTCACAGGTAACTTTAATAACTACTGAGGTTTACTGGCTACATTATTAAATGAAGGAAACACTGTTAGAAGTTAGTGAAAATAAAGATGTAATTTTTTCTAATTCTCCAGGTCCTCTTGAATTGTACCCAGACTCTGAAGAAGGACTCAGTAAAGAACCCCTTTTTAAGAAGTCTGTCAGATCATGTTACTCGCCTGTTCAAAACCATCAAAGGCTCTCCACTTTGGAGTAAAGCCCAGTCATTAAAGTGGTTTAAGTCCACTCAAATCTTCCTACGTTATCCCTTCTCCAATTACCACGGTTCAGACCTCAGCTCCTATCATTCTCTTGATTCACTCTGCTGTATCTGCACTAACTTTACTATTCCTCTAACACACTGGAAATTCTCTCTCTTCAAGGCCTTCACTAATACACTATACAGCAACTCCTAAGGATGGACTCCAGAGCCAAACTGCTTGGGTTCAATTTTCAGGCATACTACTTACTAGCTCTCAATGCCTCAGTTTTGTCATCTATAAAATGAGGACAGTAAAAATACCTATTTCATAGGATACTATAAAGATTAAGTAAGTTAATATATGTAAAGGAGTTAAATAGCTCCTGGCACATAACAGTATATGTGTTAGCTATTATTATTACTGCTACTGCTAATTCCTCAGGCTGTAATGCTCTTCCCTCACTATCTGCAGTGCTCACTCTCATCTTTCAAATGTCATCTCCATGGTAAGGTCTTTTCCTTCCTAACCATCTAGAAACTCTCCCACAGGGTACTCTCTACTCCTCTTCTCTGCCTTATTTTTCTCCATACCACTTATCACATGCTAATATGCTATATAAAACTTTATTGTTACCCTCTCCCCACTAGAACATATATTCAATATATAAGGAATAACATAATAAATATTATTCCTTCTTAAAACTAAAACGTACTGGGTAATCTCGTATGTCCAGAAATCTTTACCTCAATTTTTGACCAAACCAATTTATTCAATCTCTGTTTAAGTGAACTTTTGATGATCATTTGAGTTTTGGTAGATACATATTTTAAAAATACCCAAAGAATGAAACTGGATCACTTTCTTACACCATAAACAAAAATAAACTCAAAATGGGTTAAAGACCTAAATGTGAGATCTGAAACCATAAAACTCCAGAAAGAAAACATAGGCAGTAATTTCTTTGACATCAACCATAGAAACATTTTACTAGATGTGTCCCCTCAGGCATGGGAAGCAAAAGCAAAATTAAACTATTGGGACTACACCAAAATAAAAAGTTTTTGCAGCAAAGGCAATCATCAACAAAACAAAAAGGCAACCTACTGAAAAGGAGAAGATAAAATGACATATCCGATAAGGGGTTAATATCCAAAATATATAAAAAACATAATCTACAACTCCACACCAAAAAAGAACAAATAATCCAATTAAAAAATGGGCAGGGGAACTGAATGAACATTTTTCCAAAGACATCCAGATGGCCAACAGACACTCGAAAAGATGCTCAACATCACTAATCATCAAGGAAATGAAAATTAAAACCACAATGAGATACCACTTTACACCTGTCAGAATGGCTAAAATTGAAACCACAAGAAATAAGAAGTGTTGGTGAGGATGTGGAAGAAGGGGACCCATGTGTACTGTTGGTAGACATGCAAACTGGTGAAGCCACTGCAGAAAACAGTATGGAGGTTCCTCGAAAACCTAAAGATGGCAATATCATACAATCCAGGAATTCCACTACTGGATAATTACCCCCCAAAATACAAAACACTAATTCAAAGGGATCCAGGCACCCCTATGTTTACTGGAGCATTACTTTCCAACAGCCAAATTATGAAAACTTCCCAAGCGCCCATCAATAAATAAAGATGTACTGTGTGTATATATACGTATATGTATATATACGTGTATATACACACACAACACACAATGAAATATTATTAGGCCCTAAGAAAAGAATGAAATCTTGCTATTTGCAATGACATGGATGAAGCTAGAGAGTATAATGCTAAGTGAAGTAAGTCAGAGAAAGACAAATACCATGATTTCACGCATATGTGGAATTTAAGAAACAAAAGAACAAAGAGACAAAAAAATACAGAAAACGAACTGCTGGTGGCCAGAGGGAGTTGGGTGAGGGATGGGTGAAACAGGTGAAGGGGATTAAGAGTACACTTATCATGATGAGCACTGAAAGTGTATAGAATTGTTGAATCATTATATTGTACACTTGAAGCTAATAAAACATTGTATGTTAATTGTATCTGAATAAAAAAAATAAACAAAACCCAAAACCCCTGCAAACTGTTTTCCAAATTGGTTGTATATTTGTCCATCCCGATAACAGTACACGAGAGTTCTAGTCCTTCACATTCTTATCAACATTTGAAATGGTCAATCTTTTTCATGTAGCCATTTTATTTTATTTATTTTATTTTTTTAAAGATTTTATTTATTTGACAGAGAGAGACACAGCGAGAGAGGGAACACAAGCAGGGGGAGTGGCAGAGGGAGAAGCAGGCCTCCCGCCGAGCAGGGAGCCCGATGTGGGACTCGATCCCAGAATCCTGGGATCATGACCTGAGCCGAAGGCAGACGCTTAACGACTGAGCCACCCAGGCTCCCCTCATGTAGCCATTTTAATAGATATGTAGTGATTTTTCATTTCTCTAATGATTAATGATATTGAACAACTTTTCATGTGTTTTTTTCATTATTTATTTATTTTACGTAGGCTTCGGCATGGAGCCAAACGCAGGGCTTGAACCCTCAACCCTGAGATCAAAACCTGAGCCAAGATCAAGAGTTGGGCACTCAACCTACTGAGCCACCCAGGTGCCC